TTTCAAAATTATAATGATTTTGATTGGACACTAGTCAGTAACTAGTGTAATGTGTATCAAGTCCTATCTTCGGTGCAGACCGAATCCTATCAGTCAAGCTTGTAATGTGGCCACCATGCTAGGTGGCTCGTCATCACGGTGCACTGTGAATTGTTGGTATTAGATGGTTGGAGGCAATCAGCAGGAGGCCTTGGACCTAGGTTTCGTGCTAGTTGGCACTCTTCAGTTGGTATTTTCTAAACTTATATTTGCCGTCTATCAGAAATACTATGACATATCATAGAATCCTTTATACAAATAAAATGTTTTTGCACTCCGGACAGAGTCCATCCTACTCTACACTAACAGAACTAATTGTATAAGAAACCAAGTAGGAGGTAGTCACAATCAAAACAATCGCTAATAACAGTAAGAATATATTATACTTCTGTTACATAAGTGCACACTGACAAGCAAAAGTATGCTAACACACCAAATGTCCTTTCAAGATGAAAATTAGCATAAAGTGAGTACCTATTAATTAGCCTACCATAACTAGAGGACACGTAATATGCATATTTTGAATGACATGTTTAAAAGGCGATGATTAAGAAGTCAAGCGTATAACTTCGACGGAATCATTAGATAAAAAAACTTTCTTGAGTCAGCAGACTTTATATTGTATTCTACAAAATGAATGTTACATTCTTATATCGACATCATATACAATAGAACTTAAAATGAAATTTATCATAAATGGACCCACCAAAATCACAATTACATCCGTCTTTGATTCCTGTTATCACTTCCCTTTTTTCTGTTGTTCAATGTTGAAGAGGACGGAGTGGAATGTACTGCTCAGCAGTCCGCTCGGTCCTCCTTTATGGCTGTGAGAACTAGCCATCGGCAGTGGAAGACATGAAAAGGGTGGCTAGCTGCCTTTGATCATAGCTGCCTGCGTTCCATCCCCGTGTGAAATGGTATGATAGAGTGAGCAATATTCAGGTTAGGAATCGGTCAAGTACTAGGTAAAGAGGGGAAGTCATTAGACGAGGCTGTGAAGTTACATCGATTGAGATGGTTGGGACATGTGTTATGCATCCCTAGCCATCGCCTTCCTCGGCAGGCAATGTTAGCTGACATAGGATGGATCCGGTTGGAAAAGAGTTAGTAGTGGTGGTCAATCGAACACATGGCTTCATCAGTGAATGAAATCCACAACAGTTACTTTAAGCCTGCCACGTAGGAAGATGTAGACTTCCTGACTGGTTGGGGTCCTGGGGATGGTAAGAACCAATGTAGGCTGGAGACAATTGGTGATATGGCTCAAAATCGTTCTCAATGTCTGGTGTAGATGCATCCACTCCTTGTGACTTATAATACCCAATGAAACTATATTGTTCTTCGTTATTACTATTCCTCTCGTCTCATATCCCTGTTAATTGTTTCTATTATGCATTTCTTCTACTTTCTTCTCTTGCTTTGTGTGCTACATGGAGTGTGACGACTTGAACTGCTGCCCATCGGTGCAAAGTTCTATGTCGAAAACAGACAGACAAGTGTTTCATGAAATTGGATATTTCCGTAACTTCATCTTTTCCATTTTTTTCTACATTACAAAGATGCACGGATATCCACTGTTGAAACTTGAACTATAACTCAGCAGTGATATGTTCTACGTAGAAAATACTTTTCGACGACAAGTACTACAGATAAACTATTATTGTTTGTATTTTTAAATGGGTATTTTAATTTTCTTAAACTTAGGAATTAATTAACAAGAAAACTTAAAATTCAATTTAATGCTCAACTAAGAGCTACTCTTAGTTTGTGTTGATCACACTATCCAGTTGCTCAAGTTAAAGTAGGCAGAGTGATGCTGAAACATGAGACCCATTGGTAGGAAGTTAACGCCTTAAGCAGTAAGCCCCATGTCTTTCTGCTGTTTGAGGTCAGAGAGGAGTCATTTCTCTTAAGGATTCGAATTAATACCAGTCATTAATGAGGTCTGTCACTTACACCTAACAATATCCAAGTAACAACTGATTTCTGTGTGAGACTGAATTAGTGTAGATAAATAGGTTTTTAGGGGGTACGAAAATATAGTTATGTAATTCTTGATGGTTATCAAACACACCGTTGAACTCCAGTGAGTTTCTTTTTCGTGTCCGATTATCTACAGCTTTGGCTTATGCTAGGCTCGTTTGTTCATCAGACAGGAAGACTAGAGGATTTTATGCATACTAATATTCGAAATGAACAAATGATAAACCCAGAATCGATACCAACCAGGCAATGTCGGTCATAAAACAATAGAAGACCTGCCAGCACCATGAATGGTTGAAGTGTCCTGTCAAAGGTTCTTAATACGTGCAGTGTTTGTTCAATAATATGAATTTCTAATCGATCAGGCTAATAGTAATAGAAGAATTAACAAAAATTTCAGTTTTAAAAAGAAATATTGGTTAAATTATTTTCCAGTTATTATTTGTTAGTGCTGCCACGCTGGAAACCATTGCCAATCAGTGTCATTTAAATTAAATATTGATATTAAGCTCCTACTAAGTGACACAACACGTCAGAGTGACAAGTGGAGCCTGAATGGGAAGAGACGAGTTGGGTGTGGGTCCGAAGGTGGTATAAAGGAGATCACGTCAGGAGAAAATGAAAGCTTGTGGGTTGATAACATACTGTGGCGTGTGCTACCGATAAGATTTGTCAGTAGTATATGTACACAAAGAGATGTTCATCGGAATAAAACATCAGATAGCCGGGAGATAGATTTGATGTCAGAGAAAGTAAATGACACAGCCTTGCGGAGGAGCACAGGAGATGTGAAAGGAACAAAAAGAAACACAATATGAAGACCAGAAGTAGCACAACATGGAAGATCTGTACAAATGGGACATTGAACATAAGGTGTAAATAATTTGGGTATATACGGATACCAAAGTCTGACCGACTGGTTACAATATAGGACATTGCAGCAGTTCAAGTTGCTATACTTCACTCAGAACACAAAGCAAGAGAAGAAAGTTAAAAGAAACGCAAAATAGACACAGTAAAGAGAGATATGATTCAAAAAGAATTGTAATATCAAAGATCAATATAGTTTTACTGGGAATTATAAGTCACAAGGAGTGGATGCATCTGTGACAGCCAATGAGAATGATATTGAGCCATATCACCAATTGTCTCCAGCCTACATTGGTTCTCACCATCCCCAGGACCCCAACCAGGAAGTCTATGTCTCCGCCTACGCCCCCACTGACTGCAGTTCGGATGAAACGAAGGATGAGTTCTACCAAAAGCTGTCTAGTTTGCTGAGAAAGGCTAGACGCTCAGATATAGTCGTTTTAGCTGGTGACTTTAATGCTCAAGTAGGGAAATTGTGTCAATCTGAGAAGAATGTTGGTGGCACATACGGAATTCCGTGCCAGCGAACCGACAACGGTGACCGTCTCCTACAGTTCTGTTCAGATAATCATTTGTATCTTGTAAGCACTAACTTCAAACACAAGGAGAGACACTGTCTGACCTGGCGACCCCCATCATCAAATCAACGCTGGACACAAATAGACCACATAGCAATAAGCTATCGTTGGCGTGGGTCGGTAGGAGATTGTCGCTCCTTCTGGAACACGTGTGTAGATACCGATCACGCACTGGTCCGCGCTCGTGTGTGCTTACGACTGAACGGACGTAGGAAACAGGTAGCGGTAAACCCATCACGTCCCCAGCTCGACCAGGGAACTAAGTCCCTATTTGAGGAAGAACTAGCTAAACACATATCTGAGTTTGACAGCTGCACTCACCCTGAAGAAGCCTGGAAGAATATTCAGTCAGCCATAGATACAGCTGTAAAAGCTGTGAATAAGGTAATTCCAAAGGTGAGTAAAAACCACTGGATTTCGGCTGCCTCATCCGAACTGATAGATGCTAGAAGACTTATCCCGGCGAGCTCCGAATTCAATGAGGAGCGAAAGCTGCACAAGAGGAAACTTACGAAAAGTCTCCGCAAGGACCGTGAACAGTGGTGGTTGACTAAGGCGAAAGAGATGGAAAAAGCATCGGCGATAGGCAACACCAGACAACTATTCAGGCTTATCAGGGAAACAGGTGGTAAAAAACAAATGATAAGCGAAACAATCTCCGAGAAAAATGGCACCATAATTAGCTCCCAGGATAGACGTCTGGAGCGCTGGAAAGAACACTATGAGGAGCAGTTTAATTGGCCCACAGCCACACTTAACCTACCGGACATCCAACACCTCCCTGAATGGGAGATAGACACAGGTCCTCCGTCCTTAACCGAGGTTACTAAAGCTGTCACCAATCTGAAGCTAGGCAAAGCAGCGGGACCTGATTTATTGACTCCAGAGGTATTTAAGTACGGAGGCGACAGTTTACTGTCTGCGTTAACGGAGGTTCTAGGCAGCGTCTGGGAATCAGAGGAAGTCCCATCGGGTTGGTGTAAGTCACTGATCATCCCGATATACAAGAAGGGGGACAAGTCGTCTTGTGATAATCACAGAGGGATTAGCTTGACTAATATAGTATCTAAAATCCTAGGCTCAATAATACTGCGTAGACTAAGTGGTGCTCGGGAGACACAAACACGAGAAAACCAGGCAGGTTTTAGGCCAGGTAGAGGGTGTATTGATCACATCTTCACCCTTCGACAGATTCTAGAACATAGGCATTCCTACCGGCGTCCGACAATCATTATATTTCTTGACCTAAAGGCGGCATTAGATTCTGTCGACCGGGAGGTTCTCTGGCGATGCTTGGCTGTAAAGGGAATGCCAAGAAAATACATTGCACTGATTAAGGCACTCTACTCGTACTCATGCAGCCAGGTGAGGGCTTATGGCGAGTTGTCATCTGAAGTGGTGACGACTAGTGGCGTCCGTCAAGGATGCCCATTATCCCCATTCCTATTCAATTTCATCATAGATGTACTAATGGACTTAACCCTAACTCACTTCAGCGACTCAGGGATTGACTTGCTACCAGGGAAGAATCTCGTTGACTTAGAATATGCGGACGATATAGCCCTTCTAGGCGAGGACTCTGACAAAATGCAGAGTCTACTGAACACCCTGAGCAACAATCTCCGCATGTTTGGCATGCGATTCGCCCCTATAAAATGTAAGATGATGCTGCAGGATTGGACTTCATCGACCCCTAGATTAGAAATAGGAAGTGAAGTGGTAGAACACGTTGACCGCTTCACTTACTTGGGAAGTACCATCAGCCCCAACGGGTTGATCTCCGACGAAATTTCAGCACGAATACAGAGGGCTAGGTTCACATTCGCCAGTTTTCGCCGTCTCTGGCGTAGATGCGATATCCGACTATCGACCAAAGGGCGTGTGTACTGCTCAACAGTCCGCTCCGTCCTCCTTTATGGCTGTGAGACCTGGCCATTGAGAGCAGAAGACATGAAAAGATTAGCTGTCTTCGATCATAGGTGTCTGCGTTCTATCTCCCGCGTGAAGTGGTATAATAAGGTGAGCAATATTGAGGTTAGGCGTCGAGTGCTAGGTAAGGCGGGGAAATCAATCGACGAGACTGTGAAATTACTTCGACTGAGATGGTTGGGACATGTGCTACGTATGCCTAGTCATCGCCTTCCTCGACGGGCAATGTTAGCTGATATAGGGTCAGGCTGGAAAAGAGCTAGCGGTGGTCAAACCAAAACATGGCACCAATCAATGAAATCCACAACAGTTAATCTAAGCCACGTAGGAAGATGTAGACTTCCTGGTTGGGGCCCTCGGGATGGTAAAAACCAATGGTTGGAAACAATTGGTGACATGGCTCAAAATCGTTCTCAGTGGCGCAGATGCATCCACTCCTTGTGACTTATGATTTCCAATTAAACTTTTGTTCTCCGTTATTACTATTCCTTTGTCTCACACCTCTGTTTACTGTCTATATTATGCATTTCTTCTACTTTCTTCTCTTGCTTTGCGTGCTACATAGATTGTGGCGACTTGAACTGCCGCACATATGTGCAAAGTTCTATGTCGAAAACCGACCGACCGACCGACCGACTATGTCTTCTTACGTGGCTTAAACTAACTGTAGTGGATTTCTTTGACTGATGAAGCCATATTTTAGTTTGACCACCACTAGCTAACTCTTTTCCAACCTGATCCATCCTATGTCAGCTAGCATTGCTCTTTGTTGAGGATGGTGATGACTAGGCATGTGTAACACGTGTCCTAACCATCTCAATCGATGTGACTTCACAACCTCGTCGATTGATTTCCCCTCTTTACCCAGCAATCGACTGATGCCTAACCTCAATATTGCTCACCCTATCATACCATTTCACACGGGCGACAGGACGCAGGCACCTACGATCAAAGACAGCTACCTGGCCTTTTTATGTCTTCCACTGTCGATAGACATGTCTCACAGCCATAAAGGAGGACAGAGTGAACTGATGAGCAGTACACACGCCCTTTGGTCGACAGCCAGCTGGATATCACGTCTACGCCAGAGACGGCGTAAACTAGTATATGCGAAACTAGCCTTCTGTATCCATGCTGAGATTTCGTCACCAATCAATCCCTTGGGGCTGATGCAACTCCCCAAATAAGTGAAGCGGTCAACACGCTCTACCACTTCACTCCCTATTTCTAAGCTAGGAAACAATGTAGTCCAGTCCTGCAGCATCTTCTTACATTTGACGGGAACGAATCGTATGTAAAACATTCGAACATTGCTACCTGAGGTGGTCAGAAGACTGCATTTTGTCACCGTCTTCACCTACCCTAGGAAAAGGACTATATCATCTGCATATTCTAAGTCAACGAGATTAGTCTCTGGTAACAAGTCAATCCCTGAGTCGCTGAAGTCAGTTAGGGCTAAGTCCACTAGTATATCTATGATAAAATTAAATAGAAATGGGGACATTGGGCATCCCTGACGGACACCACTAGTTTACACCACTTCACATGACAACTCTCCGTAAGCTCTCACCTGGCTGCATGAGTTCGAGAAAAGTGCCTTGATCAGTGCGATATATTTTCTCGGCATTCCCTTCACAGCCAAACATCGCCGTAGTACCTCTCGGTTGACAGAATCGAATACCGCTTTCAGGTCAAAAAATATGATGATTGTTGGACTCCAATAAGTATGCCTATGTTACAGAATCTGTCGAATGGTGAAGATATAATCAATGCACCCTCTTACTGGTCTAAAACCTCCCTGGCCTTCCCGTCTTTGTCTCACCCGAGTACCACTTAGTCTACGCATTATTATTCAGCCTAGAACTACAGATACCATATTGGTCAAGCTAACCCCCCCCCCGTGATTATCAAAGGAAGACTTGTCACCATTCTTGTGTATCCGGATAATCAGTGACTTACACCAGTCCGATGGGACTATCTCTGATTCCCAGACGCTGCCTAATACCTTAGTTAACGCAGACAGTAAACTGTCTCCACCGTCCTTCAACACCTCTGGAGTCATTCCATCAGGTCAAGCTGCTCTGAGTCGTTTCAGACTAATAACAGCCTTAGTAACGTCATTTAGGGACAGAGGAAGTGTTGAATGCTGGGTAAGTTGAGAGTGGCTGTAGGCCAATTAAATTGCTCCTCAAAATGTTATTTCCAGCGTTCCAGTCGTCTATCCTGAGAGTTAATTATGGTGCCATTTTCCTCAGAGATTGTTTCACTTATCATTCGCCTTTTACCATCTGTTTCCCTGATAAGCCTAAATAGTTGTCTGTTGTTACCAATCGCCAATGCCTTTTCCATCTCCTTTACTTTTGTCGATCACCACTGTTCACGGTTGTTACGAAGGCTTCTTGTTAGTTTGAGTTTGAGTAGCTTTCTCTCCTCATCATAATCGGAGCTCGCTGGAATCAGTCTTCCGGCGTCAATCAGTTCGGATGAGGCGATAGAGATCCAATGGCTCTTTTTAACTTTTGTTTTTATTTAAAACAGTTAGTCCCTTTTATAAATTTTGATAGCATTATTAGAAGACGGAGATTATCTGAAAAATGTGATGTATTAGCATCACACTGGCTAACTCTTTTCCAACCTGATCCATCCTATGTCAGCTAGCATTGCTCTTTGTTGAGGAAGGTGATGACTAGGCATTCTTAACACATGTCCTAACCATCTCAATCGATGTGACTTCACAACCTCGTCGATTGATTTCCCCTCCCACCTACCTAGCACTCAATCGATGCCTAACCTCAATATTGCTCACCTTATTGCACCACTTCACACGGGAGATAGAGATATTAAAAGAGATAGAGTAATATTAAGATTCCTCAGGATTTATCCGGTTGAAACCTCTTAATTCCTACAAAATTCATATAATCATAAAATTAAGATTGGTATTTACAACAAATTCTGAAATAGATAGTCAAACAGATTAGATGTAGAATATCGATGAGTATTGTTTTAGTTTTTTTCTAACTTCCTCTTAGAGTTTATGTAGAGGAATTTGACAAGTAATGGCGATCAATTCAAAACATTATAAGCAAAACACAGGTAGCGCGTTTAAGGACAGAAAATCACTGACATGTTCGTTTCTCTTTTGAATGCTAAATTCATTTAACAAGGAAACAGTGTGCGATTTACCAAGGTATAGTATTTTGCTTTGATACTATTTTGATTATGCAAATGAGTGATTAAACAAATTAAGATATTACATGCCTTGGTTATCTACCATTGGATGAAGGCTAGAAAACGAAATATACAACTGTAGACCTACGAACTAGCTGTATTTGAAGTGTAGAATCAATACACTCAGATAGGTATTTAAAGAAATTCTGCGACAAGTTTAACATTTCTTATAATCAGTCTTAATTATTTTACGAAGGAGTAAGCAAATTTAGCCAAGATAACATCATGAATTACTTAAGATTAAGTTGGTATCAGTTAAAGTACAAAATATAAACGATGAATTTTCGTTTCATAGCTACATTGTAATAAGGTTTTGCTTTTCCTTACATGATTAGCAATTTCTCCTGTATTTTAGGAAAGTGTAGAAGCCTCATAAAAATTCTGTTTATTTGAAACATAATTAAAAGGATCCCAGACTGCTATACATATTCTGGCAACATTTGAAAAGTAAGTCGCCACATCTCATGCGTGACAACTACCAGTTACATCTCAAACACCCGTTATGCTGAGTTGCTTTCCCTTAAGTGTAGAGACAACTATATATAACTGACATAAGCAATACCATCGATTAAATTTGCGCATAAATCTAGTATTTGGCCTTTATAGTCTGTAAAACTTAATGTTTACACTAAATGCGATTATGTAAACAATTGGCTACTTATAGAAGTAGCCTAACATAAATTAAGAACCGGCTTGTTCAACATATTTACACTTAAAAAGATGCACTAATAATACCAAACATAAAATTATGAAAGCTGTGTGCATCTACAATCACTGGTCAATAATATGTTGAAAGTAATCACTAATTTTAGGTAGGTATGGAACAGGACTTTGTCCATCCATAAAATACAAATCAATACGAAACCCAACTCTACTATTTACGGCTGAGTAATGTTGGCGGCTGAATTCTAGTCATCAACTTTAGTGATACATTAATTGTCCAAAAGTAACGATCAGCACATCTATAGACAGAAAAACAACAGGACGCCCCTGCATACACATAAAATACACGGTATTTATTTACTACTTGTACAGTGACAGAATCGGAATACTCTGAGTAATAGTAGCCCATATGAGTTGGTCTACATATTTTAGAAGCCTGTCACCTTGATTTGTCCACAGCTTCCTTAATACTATGTGACATAGGCACTCATCTGCATTGCAGTGATATTGCGAGCCGTGTCAAAAAAGGTGATATGACATCGTCATTCGTACTTACTACTATGACTGCAACCGCACTCAGTGTGGTTTGGGCAAATACTTAAGCCCCATGGCGGAATTTTTCGCATTTATTTCGATCTTCAAGACTCTAAACCATTAGTCTAACTTAATGAGCAACGATAAATGTATGACTTATTGTAGTTTTTATCTATATAACGAAAGCCATTAGTAGGTGAACACCTTACGTTTTTTCATCGTGGCAAACATAGTAACACAAAGGAAACTGTTTTTTTAAATACCAGAGAGATCAAATTCTAGACATTGTAAAACAGACGGCAAGAGCAAGAATGTTTTCAAACAGCTTTTTATTTATTGGAGAGGAAAATACATTCCTGTAGTACATCAAATGAAATAACTAAGTGTGAAAAATGCAGTTACTTCGAAGAAGAGCAGGAGATGTGAGGGCGAGAATTCAAAGCAAACAAATTTCATTGTATTTCAGCTGCCAATTGCAACTATAGAGGGTAAAATGCTTCCCGGGTATCAGAAGAAACACTTCATCTTATCTGTAAGATCCTATTTCATATTTTGTCCTACTGTACAACTTCCAGATAGAACCTATTACTGAAAAACCATATATATACACACATCTAGCCAAAGGCTAATGGTACCACCTTGCTGTCCAAAATTTAGGGGATGAAGGGGATTTAGTGTCTGAAAGCTCACTACCTGAACCAATAGGCCACAGTCACATAAAACTGGCGACAAGTAAAATTTTTCAGTACTAACATACAAATGAAACTCCTCACTGCCAGCAACAATTAGCTTTCATGAAACAAATAAGAGAAAAGAAGGAAGTTTATTTATGCAACAGAAAGTGGGAATAAACACTACAAGATCTTCAGAAGATGTCTTTATTTAGCCTGGGCATTTATCAACAATAAAGAAAATATCCATGTAGCGATAGAGATCCATTAACAATATTACCATGTATTAACATTCCAATAATAAAGTGTGAAGTTGATTACTTTCTGATTACATAACAAAAAATGTGTGAACATAGTGGGAAAACATCCCTACTTGCTCCAAAATACCAGAACAGTACAGAAGTTAAGGCATAAAGAAACTACCTCAAAATTCATCATGGCTCACTTGCTTAAGCATGCATAAGAAATAGATAGTACTCATAGTAGTAATTCAACCATATTACAATTCAAATGGCATTTCCGAGAAAATGTAACATTTAG